AGGAAGAATAGTTGGCAAGCAAGAATCCTGCATAATTTTCTCCCAGCATTCAAATGTTCCAAAGCGTTGCGGTGGAATTACTCTGCGTAGAAAGACACGTCATTTTTCTTGCCCCAAAACCTTTGTTTTCTGCACCCAAAAAGTGTTTCCTGCACAGAAAAGGTTGTTGCCGATGTTGGAAAATTTTTTGATGTGTAGGAAATTTTTCTCTTTTGCAGAAAGCATAGATTTTTGTGCAAAAAGCAACAAAACACTGACATATTTTCCTCTGCCGACTAATTCAACTGCAACACTTTGGGACTTTTGGACTATAGAGGGAATACTGTAGAGGAATATTGGTGTTCTCTCACAGCAGGGACAAACCTACAGCGATTATGTGTCCTTGCATGGAAGGATGAAATAGTCAAGACTTTACATCCCTGTTACTAATCTGGCGTTTTTGCTGACGTGAAGGCATGAGTGCACCAGCCCATATATTATCTGTACTGAAAGCATTCATCCCCCCCCCCCCGTCCATCCGTTATCTTCCTCTCTTTCCTTTGGGTTTTATAGGCCTGCCCCTGTGCCCCCTGTACAGGATGTACGGGGGTCTTTTTGGTTCTTTAATCCCCCCTGGGCTTAACAGACCCATTGTTAGGAACCCGGCACTGTTGAAAAGGGAGTTTAGCTAGACATGGCAGCGCCCAGTTTTTGCAAGCTTCACAAGTGTCAGTGTAAACAGTGTGCCGTTCCCATTCCTGTGAAAGAAGTGGACAGAGAGTGCACACATTAAGGCAGAGCACTTTCATGCATGGCTGCAAAAAAAAGGAGGCTTTGGAATGAGCACTCCGGCTACTAGTCCGAAAAGCACTTGGAGCAAGACAGGACATTGCAGGCATCCAGGTTTTCTCCTTCCCGACTCTGTCGCTGTTTCCCATCCTCAAAGACCTTAGTCGTATCAAGGGTGTCTTTGTGTAAATGCTTCCTAAATCTGTCAGAGAGCTCCGGTGCCGCAATAAACTACAGATCCTAAAATTCCATAGCACTGAGCCATGACAGTTAAAGTGCTGTCAAACTATTATTATTATTATAGTACAGATTAGACCTCAGTCTGTTACCACTGCACTTTGCAGGGACCTTAAGTAATGACTGCTCAAATATATGTTTAAAAGCTAAAATCACTGTATGTTGAGCATTGGTATGTCAGGGAGAAGGGAAGACTTGCATGCTTCTCCTTGCTATCTAGTTTCCTAGGTGAAGAGTCTTGTCTTTCTTTCTTCATTTACTTGGAAGACTATTTCTAGGACTCTCCACGTACAGCAGCTGTGGTCAGTTTGGCTATGACTCTGGAGACCAGGGTTCAAATCCCGGCTCAGCCATGTAAACTCACTGGGTGACCTTGGGCAAGTTACACTTTCTCAGCCTTAGAGGATTGCAATGGCAAACCCATTCTGAATGAATCGTGCCAAGGAAACCCCATGATAAGTTTGCCTTAGGGTCGCCATAAGTCGGAAACAACTTGAAGGCCCACAACAAAACCAACAACAAATATTGTTGGACTGCAGCTTCCATCACTTTGAGCCAGCACAGCCATTGATGAAGGATGATGGAAGCTGCAGTTTGGAAACCTCTGGAGGTGCAGAAATAGTTTGCATTCAGCTCAGCAGAGGGGAGAAGAGAGACATAGGAGAATCTTACCCTTCCTAATAGACCTGAGAAGAAATGAAAAGCTGCAGTATTTTCTAGCTTGTCTGTTTGTGTCATTAACAATGTTGTTCTTGTTGACCACATTCTGGTGTTGCTTGGCCACATATATCCCACTTTTCACCTGTGAAATCTTGGAGGGCATGTCCCTGTGGTGCTAATTTTCTTCTTGCAGGGAGTTTTATACATAGCTGAACATTGTGTGCAATTTTCAAGCTACTGTCTGACATGTTACAATCCATCCTTGGACCTCAGGATTCAATCTCTCTGCTTGTATGGACTGTGCTTGGGGCATGCAGAAATTTATAGGATTTCTGCAACGTATTTGCCCCATTGAGCTTAAAATAAGAGGGTGGCTGAATTAGCCTTCTGTGCGGGTGGGACTGTTGGATTGAAACATGACTCTTAAACTCAGTTGCCATGATCTGGGGGATGCTGGGAGTTGTTGTCCAAAGAAGTAAACTATCCAGTATCTTGGTTTCCAAAACTCCCATTCTATCCTCATGTCAAAAAGTTGGGAATTTTATCATCTCCCTGCTACAGGTTTATTTTCAGCATGCACCATTGCATGCACTGGACAATAGATGCTGCATTAGTGCAAGTCCCAGAGTACCAACAAAGCGCAAAAATGAAATCATACTACATAGACACATCTGTAATATCTTTTCCTTCCAGTTTCTGAATACCAGTTTAATGGTTGTGGCTTCCCCCAGTGACTGCTGGGGACTATAGTTTGATGAGGATCCCATAAATCATAAATTGTAAATCTGCACCAGATGTGAGCCAAGTGTTGTGGCCCTCCAGATGTTTGTGGACTGCAACTCTTATCATTTCTCAACATTGACTACACTGCTTAGTGCTGCTGGGATTTGTAGTTTAGCAACATCAAGTGGGCCACATGATCTAAACGGTGGTTTCTGTAAAGCAGGGATGTAATTCTTTGTTAATTTCATTCTCAAAGGAGTAATGTTTAGCAATTTTTTCTCCCCACTCCAGGAAAATGGTAAAAAATTGTGCACACACTTAATTCTGTTCAAAAGTCGCAACTATGTTTTTGTGCTGAAAATAACATCTTTGTGTGGGGAATAACATTTTTGGCAGAGCAAAATGATGATTTCTGGGCAGAAATATTTCTTAGGAACAAGATGTTGTTCCTGTGCAGATAGCATTTCTATGCTGCAAACAGCATTTCCCCCCTTAAATAGCTGAAATATTTTCTGCACGGTAAATGCTGTTACCTGTGCAGAAAATTCTGGGCTCTGAACAAAACAAAAAAGCTACAAATTTCTCAAAGGTGCATTTTTTTTGAGATGTGCATTTTGGGGCTTTTTGAGTATGTGCATAATTTCAAATATTCTCTCCATCCCTGCAGAATAGCGAGAATCTCTCTATCTGCTAGTAAAGATCATTCATGTGGATAAAACTTGGCATGGGAAAAAAAGAAAAGAAAAACTCTTCCAAATTATGATTTACATTCCAAAGAAGCTGCCTCTTAATTGGGCAGAGACCAAATCCGTATCCAGAGACAGGAGCAATAATTACTATCTTGTCTACGCAGAAGGGGTTTTGTATTTCTGTGAGCCTTTTTTAATATTTATTTTGCTTCTTATTATTTGTAAATAAAGTGCATCCGAAACACCGGCAAGGACTCGGTGTGCCTCATTTCTTCACTCCTCAACTGCATCCCTCGCTGGTCTCCTGGGTCTTGTTATGCTGAATCTCGGTCTCTCCACTTGCACCACTTAAATCTAGTAGATTCCAGATTTTAAAGCTTGCATCAATGGTCCTGTGGAAGCTTTGGTGCAGAGACTTTGTCTCGTGGCTTTTGCAAAGCAAGGCTGTGACGCCTCCCAAAGGCATTGAAGTCTGCAAATTTCATTAACGCAGAAAGGAAATGAGAATCAAGAAGAAAAACATCCCTGAATAGCAAGTAGGTATTTGTTTGTTTTTTAATTTAAAAAAAGTAAGTTCAAAATACATAAATAATAAGCACTTGAAACAAAAGCAGATTTATTCTTGGACAGGACAACTGATCTTATCATCCTAGTTTGCTTGGAATACAATACCCCCAATAATTTCTTGGTGAGGATGGTTTCTTCCTCCTCCTCCTCTTGCCTCTTTTTGGGGTACAGAGTACCTTGGGGTGGGATGTAGGGTAATGTTCTCCATAAAAAACTTGCAGGAGTAATTGGTATTCTCCTCTCCTCCTCTTCCTTTGCGGTGAGGACATCTGGCCACTCTTTCCAAAAACCCTGATCTCCAGAGTCGTAGTCCAACATTCAAACCACAATTAGCCTGGAGGAAAGACGGTTAAGAGGTGATATGATAGCCCTGTTTAAGTATTTGAAGGGGAGTCACATTGAGGATGGAGCAAGCTTCTTTTCTGCTGCTCCAGAGAATAGGATCCAGAGCAATGGATGCAAACTACAGGGAAAAGAGATTCCACTTCAACATTAGGAGGAACTTCTTGACAGTAAGAGATGTTCGACAGTGGAAAATATTCCTTCGGAGAGTGGTGGAGTCTCCTTCTTTGGAGGCCTTTAAACAGAGGCTGGATGGCCATCTGTCAGGGGTGCTTTGATTTTGAGTTCCTGCATGGCAGAATGGGGTTGGACTGGATGGCCCTTGGGGTCTCTTCTACTCCATGATTTTATGAATTCTGCAAACACGACACCAATTCTTTACAGGGAGGAGCAATCTCCTAATATTGTCCACACCCCAAAGCTACAACTCTTCTTATCCCACTCCCCCGGATCCGTGGTTGTGGAAAGGGATGGCTTTGGACTGGAGATCTCCATTGCGGGAGGTCAAGGAGGGAGATGGAGGAGGTCAGGGCTTGGACAAGCTGTCCGGGTGAGATAAGGCCCCTCCAGCCATTGTCTGCCTTCCTGTTTTGCTAGGACGTGTGAACCTCTGGAAAAAACCTTCATCATAGCAGATGCCCTTGCCAGGAAAGTACAGCCATCACAGCACCGAAGCCGGCTGCATCTTTGACTTCCCCACATTTGCAGAAGAGAGGAGGCAGACCTCTTTGGCTGAGTTGTCTTCTTTTGCCTTGCAACCACTTGGCCAGGAGACGCCAAACTAGGAGAAAAGGAAGACTCACATTCGATTGCTGTTAAAAAAACACACAGAGAGAAACAGAGAGTGGCTTGGAGTCCCAGTTCTGGGAGGGAAAGGAAATACAATGGCTAATATTAAGAATAAATAAATGGGATCTAGAGGAAATCAAGCCTGACCTCTCCCTAGAAGCCATGGATTAAACCCAGACTGTCATCTTTTGGGAATACCATGAGAGGACAGGACTCATTGGAAAAGGCAGCGTGGTGTAGTGGTTTGAGTGTTGGAGGATGACTCTAGAGACCAGGGTTCGATTCCTCGCTCGGCCATGAAACCCACTGGATGACCTTGGGCAAGTCACATGCTCTCAGCCTCAGGGGAAGGCAATGGCAAACCTCCTCTTGCCAAGAAAACCCCATGTTAGGGTTGCCATAAGTTGGAAACTACTTGAAGGCACTCAACAACAACAACAAATGCTTTTTCTATCCTTTCAGTTTCCAAAAACCACTTATTCTGCTGAAGACTTCTGTCGAACTCTAAAGCTATTTTACATGCATGGGGAAGTCTACTTAGTTCTGCTAGTTGATGTGAGAGCGTATGGTGGAGTGGTTTGAGCACTGGACTATAACTGCAGATCAGGCTTCAAATCCTGGCTTAGTCATGGAAACCCACTGGGTGCAAGTCACACTCTCTCAGCCTCAGAGGATGGCAAGGGCAAACTTCCTCTGAGCAAATCTTGCCCCCATCCAAAAAAACCCAACCTCTGTGATACCTTAGGGTTGCCATAAGTTGGAAAGGACTTGAAAAGGCACACAACAGCAACCACAAAACCTGTTTCTGTGTGGGCTTTATTATTCTTGTAATGGGAGAAAGGAATGAATGCCACCTTGTGTCAACACTGTGAAAGGCAAGGACCCACAACGGTGTCAGTCTTGAATGGCAACTTCACACTTTATTAATTAATTATTTTTTTTTTAAAAAAAAGAAATTTGATTATATCCTGCATCCAAGCAATACTGGTGGAATGGAATAAAGTAGAGCTAAATTTTGCAAACTGTATACATTCTGCATACGGAGCAAATGGACCAAATGACTCTCGTTTGCACATATATTAATTTGCAACTATTAAACTGTGTGTGTGTCACCTGTCAACTTGTGTTGGGCCCATATATTTCCAAAGGGATGATGGTTGTTAAGAGCAGAAATGCAACTGTGGATTTCCAGGGGTTTCTTCCACTTGAGATGATAAGTTGGAGACACCCCATTTTGTGCTGAGTTTTTGGGAGGAATATACTGTAAATCAGCATACCCTCCGATCTTTCAGAGATGAAAACTGGGATGCGTGTAGCCAAGCAGCATCAAAGTATGGTCAAGATGGGGAAGAACTGACAAATGTGGAGAGGCTGCAACAGCTTGCTTTTGACTGAGCCTCCTGGGAAGGCTCTTCTCTCCTCTCCATCATTAATTGACTACAAACTACATTTGTACTTTGAACTCAGTTTACAGTGCTTGAAGTAAGCTGATGACAAAGGAGGAAGAGAGAGAAACTGGGACATTTTAAAGCCAGCTGAAAAGTGAGAGGACAGAAGATTAACCAAGACTGCCCTTGCCAAATTGGGACAGTTGGATAGTATGAAACAGTGGATCTTACATTTTGCAGAAGATCAGTTGATCTCGAAGCTCTACTTTCCTATGCCCTTTTAACAGATAGAGAGGCACATTTGGATGAGAAAGGGAAGACATTAAATCCCAGCTATTTTTTAGGAAAAACAATTGAGATTGGGACAATAATTGAGCGAGACGTTGCTACACAAGTTTTGCCGGAACTGAACCGTGGCAGAGACAGCAGCAAAATTTCATTACACTGAAGATATGAAAACCTTTCCATTCCCCAGGCCTTTGCCACTGGCTTTCATAGGATTTACTTACTTTCGAGAGAACGTATTGGTAAATTACTTTTCTGAGCTGTAAGGAGGTTGAACACTGACAGAATAAGGAGCTACGGGGGAAAAAGGAACAAAGAAAAATGAAGCCAGGAAAGAGTTTGCACAATTTCAGAGTGGAGGAAAAGGGAAACAAATCAGAAGATCAATTTCATCATGAAATACAAACCAAAGATGAGTTCAAGCAGAAATGCCAAAATATTAATAATCATCTAGAGAAGATAATGAAGGAATTGGAAGAGGAAGCAACCAAGGGGGAAAAAATGGAGAAAATGCCAGTTAAGACAGCTGGAAAAAGAGAATGCTTTCCTCCAGGATAAACTGTGAAATATCAGCAAATCATGAGATAAATTTAAAGGGGAAAATGCTGCCTGGAGGACAAGACCAAGCTTTAAGATCTGAAGAAAAGCCAGAACTCTGAAATATGAAGTGAAAATATCATCCAGCTGCAAAGACAGATGGATAAAGCTAATGCTTCGCTGTGCACTGAGTGTGAAATGGAAGACAGTTTGGAAAACTTAAAAAGATCTCAGCATGTTTTTGGCATCTGCAGAGTAATAATGGAGACTGGCAAAGTTTTTAAAAAATGATATATGCTAAAATATACCAAGGTCAGACTTGAGAAAGTCTGTATCAATGTGCAGCCAGCTCTGGCATCTCAAAGAAAAGTTCTGGTTGGTCTACATTTTCCATTTTTCTATAGGGACTCAGCCTACTGTCAGCCGGAGCTTGGATTAAAGCAACAGGAGGGAAAGCAGAGGATGCAATTAGTTCAAGAGGAGCTGAATTTTAAAAATCTCTTTCAACCATGCAATCCTGATTCCTTCAATGACAGCAAGCCAGTGGGATCAATGGCAGACATTGCCTTTGTTCTGGTTCAGTCTAGGGATGCCAATCTTTGTCAATATTGTTCTTGCATGCCGAAGAATTAATTATTCCCAATAAATCATTTTGGTTATTTTTTTTCTCCCTCCTGTGAGAAAACCCTTGGAAACTATGCAGGCTTTGGACTTATTCTGTGAAAAACCAAAACCAGAACCAAAGCCATGGCCAACAAAAGCCCATGTACTTTCTGGGGCCAACCTCCAGCAGGTGTTTTGCACAGAAAAGCGAGCCTTGTTTTCTGCACAGAACATCATGTTGCTTACAGAGAAAATATGACTTTCTGCACAGAAAACCAGATCTCTGCGCAGAAGATGCTACTTTCTTTGCAAAAACAACTTTTGTGGGTTTTCTTGTGCAGAAAAGTCCTGAACTGGAAAAATTCTCACGGGGCTGAATTCTCCTCCTTGGAGACAAGCTCCAGCAACCAAAAGTCTGTGTTTCTCTAGCCCTCCTCCACCATCTTCCCAATGCACAAAGGCGGATCCATCTTTTGACACCTTTTTTTGGGTAACATCTTGATGATATTAAAGGGAGTGGTGGTCGTAAAGCCATAAGATCCAAAGTCTGAAAGTCTGAAGTCTGTATTCTAGAGCAAAATTGGAGAGCCAACCTGGTGGAGTGGTTTGAATGTTGGACTATGGATCAGGATTTGATTCTCTGCTTGGCCATGGAAACCCATGAGTTAACTTTGGGTGAGTCACACACTCTCAGCCCCAGAAAACCCCTGGGATAGGTTTGCCTTAGGGTTGCCAGATATTGGAAGTGACTTGTGCCTTCGAGGGATCAAGGAATGTGTGCCTTTGAGTTATTTCCAAATTATTGCAACCCTAAGCTAAACCTATCATGGGGTTTTCTTGGCAAGATTTGTTCAGAGGAGGTTTGGCATTGCCTTCCCCTGAGGCTGAGAGAGTGTGCTCTTAATTACTTTTTGATTCATAGACGATGAGAGGCCTGCAGCCTACTTGGACGCATGCATTTTGTAATCCGATGCCAAATCATGGATCCACAAAATATATCATGTACGTCTTGACACTACAAGGATAAAGAGGTAAGTGTAGAATAGGAAACACCTTCAGTTAATTGGGCATTTCTCAACTTAAGCCATGGCTGGGCTCTAACTAAATCTTTAAGGAGATGAGTCCGACCGTATTGGCATGAGTCCGGTTGAAATGTTTCGGACACGCTTGTAAAGGAAGAATATTTCTCTGAGGTCGATAACATTGGCTTCCAAACAACTGCTGGAAGATATACATCGATCCTTGGCTTTGTTTTAGCCACGCTAAATTATTTGGTGCTGTCCACAACCTTGACTAACTCTAATCCACGATCATTGAAGAAACAATTAAAAAGCACTAGTCCCAATATAGCTGTCTGGGGAAGAGCGTTGTTAAATACACTCAGCCCTAAGTCAAAGCTGGGTCTCTAGTGACCTCTTTTTGGCATCCTGTTAGTCACATAACACACACATAAGTACAACAAAAGGCAAAGTCCACAAAAGAGAAATACCTTTGTTGGCCAACCCAAATGCAGAAAAGACCCCATGCAAGCTGACATTGTAGCCGATGTATTGGGATCATTTTGTAATTGATTTTACTCTATATTTTAACGGTTTTGGTTAATGTTGGGACTTGGGGGGTTGGGAAGGGGATTGCTTTTTTATGCAACTTCAATATTATTGTTTTCTTATTGTATTCTTTTATTTTTATGCCTGTAACAGAAATAAATATTATTATTATTATTATTATTATTATTATTATTAAGTTGTCAAAGCTTCACTGGCTCCTTCATCAGGCAAAGATGCTAAAAAAAAAAAAAACCATACAGGAGAAGAAAAAGTGATGGTGTCACAAGTTTTGTGAGATATTTCGCTTCCTCTGTCAAGAGAGCTCTGGCGTCCCTCCAAACTACAGATCCCAGGATTCCATAGCATTGAGCCACGGTGGTTAAAGTGGTGCCAAAGTGCATTAATTCTGCAGTGCAGATGCAGCCCTGGGTGCCCATTGTAATCCAAATTGTGGGTGGAAGCGGCAGCTTGAAGCTGAATTGTCCATTTACATCTACTTGGGTCTTTGGGAATGCTAAGATCCATTAGTTTTACCTGTTCCTGGTGAAGATAAATACTGCTAGAAATGTTTAGATATCTATTTTGGACTCTCCTTTGAGATGTAGCTGGAGGGACTGTCTTGATGACAGCCTGCTCTTCACAATTGACTGTTGCACGTTTTCACACCTAAACGTGGAAGTTAAAATTCAGCCTCTTTGCTGACCAGGGATTTGTAGTACCAAAAACCACCTGCGGCATAAAGCCATAAATAGTCATCTTTCCTGAGCCATGCAGTTGTGGTTGGGTCCAGGAGGTGGCACTGGAGACCCACCGAAAACCTCTCCACAATTCCAAATATCTCTTGGAGGACAGAAAGGAGGATTTGTGGGTCCAAAGTCATTTTTCTTTCCATCTGGGGTTGCATGTAATGAGAAGCAGAGTGGACACGAAAGCATAG